CTCGGCAAGATAGGTAGCCACCGAAGCCTCTGCGCTACCTGGCCGAGGTTGGGGTCTGGTGCCTCTGGACTCCACCATTGAAGCCATGCCCTTGACTCACATTGTCAGCAGCTGTCATGGAGGAGACCGGCTGGTTCTGGGAGTGCTGGCACGGGAAAGTGGATCCCCCTCTTCCACGTTCCCCTGCCTCTGCCCTTCTGCCTCCCTAACTCTGTTCACCAGCACCTCCGTCCAGTGATCAAGGGTTTTGCTGGTGCACACACTCCCCTTCACCCTTGGGTCGCACATGGTTGCCAGCACTTGGAACGTACTGGACCGTGATGGATCCAGCCATTTTTTTTTATGCCCTCCTTCAGCCACTTCACCAGCACCTGCACCTCTGGTGACAGTGGCTTGCCTCATCCAGGGACATTGATCCCTTGGAACTTCTTTGGTTCTCAAGCTCCTCACTATGGGGATCACCTGGCTAAGGAGGGCATTGTCAGCACTGAGGGTCTTGGTGGCCTTGAGGAATGGCCTGAGGACCACCAAGATCTGGGAGATGGTATCCCACTCTGTTTTGTTAAGAGGCCCGCTGATCCCAGTCTCCCTGAGCAAGGTCATCTCATGGATGGCCTTCTGTTGCTCGACCAGCCTTTCAAGCATCAAGTATGTGGAGTTCCACCAAGTCTCCACATCCTTCATGATTTAGTGGTGCAGGATGCTCAGCTCTGCCTATTTGTCCCGCAGCATCCTTCCCCCCTTGATGCTCCGGTGGAACTATCCCGCCAGCTTCCTGCATCTTGAAATGAGCTGGCTGGTAGCGATGGCACCATCACCGGCATCCCTGTCCCCATTCAAGGTATCCCTGACTATGAGGTGGAACTTGTGTACCACACAGCGGATGCCAACAAAGTTGGCATCACGGATCGCCGTGACCATATTGGCCCCATTGTCAGTGACCACGAATCTGTGGGTGAGCTCGCCCTGCCCAATGAGCCACTCCTGTACCATGTGGTTCATGGCCACCATGATCTCCCTTGCCATGTGGGACTCATTCATCACCTCTGCTTGAAGGAGAGCCCACCAATGGCCTGACTGATCGCACCAGTGCCCTGTGAGGGAGAGGCAGGCATGATCTCCACCCCGACTGCTCCAGATGTCTGAGGTGAAGTGCAAGGCTACCTGCGACCCTGCCTTGTGCAGCTCCTCCCTCAAGTACTCCCTGCATGCCTCATACAGGGAGGGTACCACCATCCTGCTAAAGGTGGGGGGCACTTGGTATGATGGGGTCATGAGTGCCATGAGCTGCCTGAACCCTGGCCACTCAACTAAGGAGAAGGGCTGACCAACCAGAGCAAGCATTTCCCCAATGCTCTGGGTGACCTTGCTTGCCCTTGCAATGCACCCCGCTTTGTCTGCGGTTTTTCCCCATCGGTTCAGAATGGCCTGCCTCTGTTTCATAGGGGTGGAGCTTTGGAGTGAGAGGGGGGACTTCCCTTTGGGCACATCCCGACTGGTGCCAGGCTGAGGAAGAGCAAGGGCAAGGGGGTGCTGCCTCCTGAGATGCAGCAGGATCGCCATGGTGGTGAAGTGTTTCACATCCTTGCCCTGGCTGATCTGCCTTCGACAGTGCTGGCATGTAGCATACTTGGGATCATCTGCCACCTCAAAATGATCCCACACTACACTACCCCCCTGCTTTGGGGTTGAGGGTGGGGATCCTGCCTTATTCCCTTCCTCCAAAGGTAGATGCACATAGGGGAAACTGAGTCACCTGCCACCACAACCTCCTCCAAAATGTCTTCCAGAGAAGGAGACCTGCCTGTAGGGGAACTTTGAAGTGTGTGGAGCACAAACTCAGATTCCCCTTCCTTCCCCAGAATGTCCTTGGCTATAGCACTGTGCTCCCCAGGTTCCAGATCCAGCTTCTCTGGCACTAGGAGGCTCACACTGGGAACTGAAATTGGGGTGGAGGAGACTGTCATGCTGGTGCTGGTGGCTATTTCAGGTGTTAGTGGAGGTGGTGCAGGTGCAAGGACAGGTACTGCTTCCACCTCCTTGTTCCCACTAGCAGCAGAAGCCTCATGGCTGCTAGGGAAGAGGGTGCATCTAAGTTTGGTTGGGGGGAAGGGGTGGAACTTGCAGCTCTCGCCCTACCCCCTCTAGCCCCTCTCACTCCCCTGCCAGAAGACCTGACACCTGCCTTTCCAGCACGCTTCATAATGTTTGCTGTGCTGGAAAATCTGTGTGTGTGTGTAATATATCTTGTATGCGTTTAATATATGTGTGTGTTTACTATATCTTTTTCTATCTGCTTATTATATTTTCTGTCTCGGGGGTGGGCAGTTATTTAGGGCAGAGGGCCACTTACCGAGTTTGGGCAAGCTGTCAAGGGCATGGGTAGCCCTGCCCCTTGACAGGTGCCCCACCCCCTGGTCACCATTTTGTGACTGGAAGTCCCGCCCCCCAACCCCTGACCTTTGCCACCAGAAGTCCCTCTCCTTACCCCTGGAAGTACTCCTTTCAGCAAGAGGTTTTGCTATCTCAGAACCAGAAAAATACCAAATCATGTTCTAAAAGAAAACATCTACAACATTCATTAATTTAATTACAAAAAATATTGTGTCCTGATTTACATGTGTTTGTGTAGCGTACACAGAGGTGATTGCACAATAGCTTAAAATGAAATCTTACTTTTGTATGCTATGGGGGATGGGTATAGGTTTGTGGTGGGGGGTTTGGGGGAGGGCATGGGTGTGTCTGTGGGGTGGATAGGTGTGGGGATGTGGAGTGAGGGAGCATGTGGGTATGTGTGGATATGTGGGGTGTGGGTGGGTATTGGGTTTGTTGGGGTCTGTGTGGGGAGGAGGTTGTCTGGGGTGTGAAGGGGTCTGGGGATCTGCATGTGCGAAGGGGGTTGTGGGCACATGTGTATGATGGGGTGTGCATGTGGGACTCACTCTACGAACATACACAAATGCACACATGCACACACCCTTTACCCCTGTCTACACACACACACACACACACACACACACACACACCCCTCCTTCTCCTGGCCTTGATCCTGGCATGGCCCATGCAGCCCAGGGCCACATGGTGTTGGAGCAGTGTGGGGGCAGGAAGGAAGGGAAATGACTGGGGATGTAGTGGGGCTGGGCTGCTTGGTCCTGCCGGCTCCCCTTGGGTCCTACTGCCCCTGGCTCCTGTCATCTTGACCCACATCCAGAAACAAATAAATATGAATTTACTAAATTTTTTAGGGGCTCGGTAGGCCTGATAGAATGGTCTGGCGGGACAGATCTGGTCCATGGGCTGTATTTTGCCTGCCCCTGTTCTATCTGCTTGCTATATTCTCCTATCTGCTTTCTATATCTTCTTCTATGTGCTTACTATATCTTCTATTTGTTTACTAGATAGAAGAGCCTAGGTAGAGAGATTAGATAGAGAGACTAGCAAAACAGTTAAGAGGCTGACTAGGAAGCCAGCCACTGCTGCCAGTACCTTTTACATGCTGTTGCTTCCAGACACACAGTTCACAAAAGGGACAGAAAGGCTTCACACAGAGTCTTATATGCTGTTTCTACATCCCTCCCCCAGAGCACTGTGATTGGAAGGGACCTTGGGGAAAGATCACAGTCACTGGCCAGCTACAGATGTCAATATCAGAGCAGTCTTTCCCTTCCTCCCCTCCCCAGCCCTGCCTCTCAGTTTC